TGGGTGTGTTTTGAAAAGGGACTTGAAAAAAAAGTGCTTTTCTCACCCTAACCCAACCAATTCCTTAATTCCACGTGAGAGTGCGAATGTCTAAAAAAAAAAAAAAAGAATTTTTTTCCCCCCAGTTGTTGTTGAAGGGAAGAGGGACGAAGCAACAAAAGCGAAGCGTCGTTGATTGATATGTATTCCTCACACACACTATTTCCAGGGTCAGATCGGGATAGAATCTTTTTTTATTTCTTTATTACTGGAATGACTTTCCCTTTACCTTCGAGTTGTGACGAAGGAACAGGACAAACTCATTTAAAGTTACATAAATTGTATCCTTTTGTTCATTAAAATAATACAAAAATGCAACAAATTAAGTTTAGACTAAGTCCATAATTCTTCGTTTTCGCCCCCTTGTTGCTTCAGCAAGATCTCATCCAAGAAAGGCAATTTCCCCTCGAGAGTCTGACCTCGTCATGTATTCCCCATAAATTACTGCCTTCAGACCCTGGTCACGTTTGCTCTCGTCCGTTGTCTTGATGGTTTCTATTTTTACTTCGAAAGTAGATTTTCCTGTCTACAGTTTTCAGTTTAAGGGATCCTTACCGGACGTACTGTATAAATGTTTTCCTATCGGCGTTTTCTTTCTATCAACTTGATAGCTTATGATATTATGAGACTATTGCGTATTTTACCAAACCTGATAAAAGTTTCCTCACTTTTTCATAGACGCACTTGTATATTGGTAAGAACAAGAACTGGGGACGTGCGTCTGTGGTGGAGCGGTGTGGTATTTCGCTGTTTCTTGCAAAGCGAGAGCTGGATTCCCATGTGAAAAGATTTCTAAATTTGTATCTTCGTCGGTATGCCAGGACATAGTATCCCGTTCAGCTCAAGTTGGCTATGACCGGCAGGACCAAAGCAACCCGCCCCCTAAATAGTGTATATTGGACCGTAAAATATCAACAATCATGATTTATAACAACAAGAACTGGCGTTTCTGCTTCTTCTGTACCAGTATTGCTACCACTGCTCTTTCTTCTACATTCTACTACTTGTACTTTATCAGTTTTACCTCAGTTTCCTGTAAAGATTCAGTATTTAAAGCAAATTTCAAGTGCTATAGAATTAAATAGAAGAGTTTTTTTTTACTACAATGAAAAAACCCATTATTAGACTGTTCTGCTTGATTTTATCATATGCATTGTCTTTAATCAGATCTCATGCTTCATCAATGAAAAATATAAAAGTAATCCTGTAGCTTAAAGGTACTCAAAATAAGGTGAAAAGGCAACACAGTATGTGTTTTGGTCATTTAGCTTGTCACTTACCTTTTGCAGATTATCCAGAAATAATTTATTTTGTTGTCGTTCCAAACCAGTCTTGATTTTCGATTCGTCAAACAACGAGTCAAACAAAAGCTTTGCGTCAGGATAACCTTACTCACAGCAAAGCAACAACACACTCATCCTTTCCAGGAGGGGAAAACAACAGCAAACACACGCCCAGACACACGAGCAGCTGACTAACACGGATATGAACTCTCAAGAACCACTTTTGGAACACACGAGCTAAACAGAAGGAAGAAAGAGTATCCGATTGTTAATGTCAAACAGAACGAGTTGAGGGGAAAAGTGTTTCTGTAACTCTCTACAAATTGTTTCACTTCCTCTCACAATATCGATGTTTCCAAACAATGTGTTTGTTGTTTTGTCACAAAATGGCAAGAGCCACGGATGTCTGTACCCCCTGGCGAATCACACATAACAAGGTTATTAAGCAACAGCGTCTGTCGTTAACAAGAATGAGAGAAAAAGAAGGTTCACAAATCTGGTCGAGTTCTGGCATTTTACTTCTACCAAGGAGACTTGGTGAAGTCGCCGCTGCGAAGCCTAGGCGCGCGTTCGCGACACGACATGGGCCTGTCG